CAAGAGGGGGGTGGGGAGCTAGAGAGAGAACACCTGCTTATTAGTTTTGGATTCAAACTGCAGTGTACCTCTGGCAGGTTATTTGAGGTTAATCTCTCTGGAGCAAAACATTCTCTTTGCAAAATGGAAAGAATGACGCCCACACCATAAAAGCACTACTATGTATGCAGAAAGTACCTATTTCAGTGCCTGGAACAAAGCAGGAGCTCAGTAAACAGGTCTGTTAGTGCTTACTGACGAAAAGGGAAGGCCTATGGTTAAAGAGGTATGGTTTCTTGGGCCAAGCAATTGATTTCGTTCTTCCATTTCCATATTTGTAATAGAAAAAAAAAAATGTCCCCTTCATCTCCTTTTTGGGATAGCTTATATTAGTTCACAAGGGGTAGTAAGCATTCAGCATTCATCTTGGTAACTTTCTGCCATGGCAAACAAGAGTGTCTGCAGGTGAGTCGTTAGGATGATAAAAGACATAATGGAAGGAAAACAGAAGGAAGAAGGTAGGGAGACGATAGCTGGCTGTCTGCAACATCCATTTCACTTTAGTACTACGACCAACTTACTACCACTGTCAGATGAAAAGTAACAGAAACTCTCTTATTTGAGACTGTAGTGAGTTTGGATAAAACTCCCTTGGAAACTGATGTCATAACATTGGGTTTCTGGCCAATGAATATAAGTGTTAAAGTGCTGTGCAAAGCTTAAGGGACAGCGCTATAAAAGGCGGGAGCATAGCATGCCTGCTTCCTCTCAACTGGCCGCAACATTTGCAATGTCTTGCGCTCCAGCAGCCATTTTGAGCCTTAGGGGTAAATGTCAACACCTAAGAATGATGGGGGGGTAGAGTTAAAGAGTTCTCCAATCACTAGCTGTATCTTTTTTTTTTTTTTTAATAGGAGAGATTAAAACCTTGAGTATTTATTGAAAGCACTAATTTCTGGGAGCAGAGTGAAGGCCTGTTACTGATCACTAAATTCATTTCCTAACTCATGAAAACGAAACAAAATCTTAATCGATGACAAAAAGCAGATGAGTGGTTGCATGGGGAAATTGGAGCAGGGAGGAGGGGATTACCCTAAGGATTACAAGAAAACTTTTGGAGGTGATAGATATGTTCATATCTTGATGGTGGTGTTTTCATGGGTGAAATACATATCAAATGTACGGTGTGCACTTTACACTGGTGCAATTTATCGTCCATGTTTTCCTCAATAAATCTGAAAGTTTTGCCTCAGTCTCACCTTAAAAGAAAACACTACTAACTCATTTATGACTAAAGATGTTAATCATCTGTCATGCACTGCAAACGAAACACCATGTATTTTGTTGTTTTACTGTTTTATTTTTTGATTGTACAGAAGTTGTGTACTGAAATATGTTGTTTTATTTATTTTAAGATAAAAAAAATGTCTTTATTGATTTCAGAGAGAGGAAGGGAGAAGGAGAGAGAGAAAGAGAGAGAAAACCATCAATGATGAGAGGGTCATTGATCGGCTGCCTCCTGCATGTCCCCCACTGGGGGATGAAGCCCAAAACCCCGGGCATGTGCTTTGACTGGGAATCAAATCAGCAACCTTTTGGTGCACAGATGATGCCCAACCAACTAAGCCACTATGGCCAGGGTGACATCAGCAGTCCTTTAAAACCCCCAAGGTGATGGTGTCTTAGAGAGAAGCCTACAGGGTAGGCACTTGAGAAGGTCCTAACTGTAGTGGCATAAGAATGGAAATCACAAACCACTTCATTCACTGGACACAGGGTCACTAAGATAGAACAGAAATAAAATAGAACTATGCACCAGTGGGGATGCTGACAAATGAGATTTAACAGCAACCAAGAGACACTCCAAAGGCATAAGAATACGACAGAATAAGTCATGCCAGATATACAGACTCTCACACCTCCAACTTTAGGACTTGAGTATCAGATAATCTGACTCATCAGAAAGACTACTTCAGTATCATGCATAGGCATGTGATAGCTGTGGACGAATGTGACTAAAATCTAAACCATCCCTCCGCCCCTTCTTTAGAGCACACGGTCAGTTCTTTAACTATTTTCCTAAAAGATGTAGGCACACGATCTCACCTGACTATGGGAGAGAACTTTGCTGTGCCCTAAAGCTACAAGCGTCCTTCCTAACCCCACAGGGATGGAGATTCAACAGAAACAAGGGTCTAAATTACCAGGATGTGAATTTACCACCCAGGAAAGAGTCTGAGACTCTGAACCTTATGTGAAATTCCCCATGCTCACTTATTTCTCACCTATAAATAAATCTGAATAGGCAAAGGTCTCTGTCTGAAAAGCTATAAGCTCCTAGTCCTTCTGCAGCCCACCTGGTTTTGGGAAGGGCTGGATGGGAAACAGACAGATGATGTGATGGGGGCCCAGGCTAGGTGTGTGGATCAAGCCTACACTGGCCAGTAACTTTGGCCACTTCCAAATCTGTACCAGACTTCAAGGAGGTCTCCCTAGGCCCCCACCCCAGGCCCCAGGGGTTACTGCTGCATGCATATCACATGAGCTCACTTGGGTCATTGTTCCAGGGACCCCAAACACTGGCATCTGCTCAGTAATCTACACACACCATCTGAAAGGGAGTGGGGAAGGTTTTATGTGCAGGGAAGAACAAGGGAAGGAGGTGAAGGGTGGGGAAGGACTGACCTGGATTGCCTGGCGGCCCTGCTGGGCGTCAGCCAGCAGCTGGATGGTGAGGGCCCGGGAGTCCTGCAGTGCCTCCTGGAGGTAGATGAAGCTGTGGCCCCCGTGCCGGCCCATTGTACACTCACGACAGATGGGCACTGAGCAAGTATCACAGTACAGGTGCAGCACCTGGGGACCAGAGAGGGGGTAGGCATTAATGAGAGATGCAGGACTGGAGACAGGAAGGACAGCAACAGGGGCTCTGGATCTGACTTCCAAACACGCCCTTCCCCAAAACAAAGCACCCCCCCACAAGGACAGGGAGCGGTGTAGTCAACTGTGAGCACAAATTGCTCTCTGCCCCCCTTCCACTCCAGTTTCATTCAGAAATTCAACGGAGACGCTTCAAAGGCATAATGTTTCCCTGTCCCTTAGATTAATTACCCAGAAATGTTCTAAGATTATGTTTTCCTCATCTGAGATTGGTAGTCCAAATGAAAGGATATACCAGAAATTTTCTCTTGCCAATCCCAGCCTCTGGGTGTGAAAACACGGTTAGGGGCCAGTATTAATTACCGCCCCACCACAGGTTGTCACCACCCTCCCCAGCTAGGAGATTAGCACAACATGCAGAGCATGGTTTTCCAGGCACTCAGGCAAGCTAAGGGCTTAAGCTTCTGGAATGAAGGCAAAAAGCTAGTGGTAAGGTCAGCCAGCTTCTTGTCTTTCTTCTTCCTGCCAAGTTGTTCCAAGGAGTTGACCCTGGGAGGCAGTCCCTGCTGAGAGAACTGATGTTCTCTATTTCCCTGGGGCCCAGCATGCTGGGAGGGAAAGAGGGGAAGGGTTGGCACCACCTCCACCTGCTGATAAATGAGGAGCTCTCAGGAGCGACAGCTCCTTGGCACAGAAACTGGGCCAGTCTCGTATCCCTCCACAGAGCAGGGTACTTAGCACCACTGTCTGTAAATGTTTGCTGGATTGCTTTCAAGAGTAGAGCTTAAATTTGCCTCTGGTGCACTTGGGTGTGAGGGAAAGCCAGCCAACACACAACAGGAGGCAGGGAAGTGGTGGCCAAGGGGGCTGTCTCACAGACACAATGCACAATAAACTGAGTCCCCAGATGAAGATAAGAGGTCGTGAGGTGCTTAAGGCCACACAGCTAGCAAGGACAGAGCAGTGAGGCCAACCTCAGGCTTTTTTTTTAAAAAAAACTTCAATTTACTGCAGTGACACTGATAACCAAAATCACACAGGTTTCAAGTGCACAACTCTACAACACATCATCTGTATACTATTGTGTGTGACCTGAGATTTCTAAAGAATTGCTTCCAACACATGCCTGGAACTGGCCACCTCATGCAGAGCACACAGCACCTTGCTAGGTACCCTGGAGGTCCAAGGGGTTCTAGAGCTTGTCCAGACCAGGCTGACAGAGATAGGAAGGAGAAAGGGTTGGTGGTAGCCCTGAGGGCCAGAAAATTCCTACTAGGCTGGAGTCCCACACAGAAACAGCTCTGAGGCAGTGAGAATGCTGTTTCTCTTAACCCATCAAAGTCTTGGCATGGAGCACATCCACTAGGAAATGATCTCCCAAACGGCGCAGTCCAGTGAACAAGCCTGCTCCACGTCGGGCTAACGAAGTGTGTGCACCCGGCATGGGCTACGTACTCTGCTTTCCTAAGAACTCTCAGATTCCAAAATAGGAAAAAATTTAGGATATTACATTCCTACTTTTAAAGAAATAGCTCTGACACAGCAAGTTTTATTTTATGGACTCTACAAGAGGGAAGAGGTGATCAGGTTCGTAGTTTACTACCATTTTTGCCACCCAATGAGTGCACTGAGGTCCAGGGGCCAGGGTAGACTGAAACCAAGGGTCAGCAATTTGCCTTCTCAAGACCAATCACCTTTTTAAAAAAAATTTATCAATATTGTTGAAAGCACTACAGATGCCCACC